CAAGTGGCAACATTGCTAATAGAAATGGATAGATCAGACCATGTGTGAATTTGAAAACAGTTGATAACATTGTAATTTCAGCTTTTATAAGCTCTGTTAGTTTTTAGGCTGAGTTTGAATGTTATTTGTGCAGCATTAATAAACACTTGTTGGGAATTTTACTTAGCCATCTCAAAACCTTTAAACTGGTATGTGGATAGAAAATAATTTGGGGGCTTATTTGAGGGGGCTGAAATAATGCCAGATAAGCCTCCCTCACTCCACCCTGCCACTCCCCCCACCTGGGGACTAACTTACCTTGGTGGATACTTATGATCCGTTTTCAACAGAAGCCAGGATTTAGTGGGTATATTGGAACCTTAAAGGCTAATTTTAACTAGTGAATACTTTTATTTTCATGTTTACCTGAAGGTTTATGGCAGGCTTAGGGAGTGGTAGTAAAGAAGGAGGATTAGAGATAAATAGTAAAGAATGTTACAGAGCTGGAGAGAACTTTCTAGATAAGCAGGAGCATTTTTAAATATAGTTTCCTAATATTCCTTAAGGTTGTCCTCTCCTTCCTGAAGTTTTTGTGTTCTGTCATTGACTCTTAGGAATTCTGCATAGGAAGTGAGCTTATTGGGAGAAATGTGATATTGATAGCTGATCATCAGGTTTACATTGCTGTAATTAGTAACATAGTACCTTTTCTTCTTCTTTGTATTAAGTGCTATAATGATAAACATTTATATAAACAGCAGAAACCTTATACCACTACTGTAACCTTAACTAAGTTAAAACAGTTTTTTCCTCTTTTTAGTAGGTACCTATAATTGAGTTTGTAATCTTCAGACTGCCTAAAAAAAAAGGGGGGGGGGAATTTTGGTTTTGCCTGCAATATTTGACATTTGTAAATATAATTTTCAGTAGTATCTGTCTAGATGACCATCTTATTCTTCATCATTCTACTACATATCACAATGTATATTTTGAGTGCACTAAGCTGAAATAGAAACAATTATGGAGCAATATCACTCCATGGATTTTTTCCTGCAATTCTAGTAAAACCCCCTCCCGTTATCTGAAATGGCACATGGTATAGAGAATATGCAGGCTATACTGGTATTTTGTAATGTAGTAAATTTTCACATAAAATAAAAATCTGAGGAGAAAGAAACTAATTGAAATAAATTAAGTACCACGTAGGGTTAACTAAGTGAACCAATGTTTACACTGTTCTTAGTACATTCATAACTTTTTTAGGTTAGTTGTTTGCTCTAGAATGTGTGGATGACAGAAAGGAGTTATATGAAGATAAGATCTTGTAAGTAAATCGTTGTCATTCAGCGGTATAATCGGAGATGTCTGGCCTTGTATCCCTGGTTTGAAAACACGTTCCTTGGTCTCTTACATAATCACAGTTAATTTCTTATCTGCATCAAGGACTGCTGCTGTCTGTTCGGGTAGCCTAATGACTGCTGAAGGGACTTGCTTGGTGACTGTACACTTCCTCATTTTGTGCTCTCAAACACACAGAGAACACTTCCACAGTTCAGATTATTTCACTCATGATGAGTTTAGAAGAAGCAATAAACAATGAAGTTTTCAAACTAATTTTTGTCTCTGAAGAGGCAGTTATTTTTACAAGAAAGAGACACTCTCAAAGTCTTATTTGGGGAGATTTGCGTCAGCTGTTTGCTTTATACAATTTCTACTGAGAAGAGAGACCATTAGACTGGTACATTTTTTTTTTTTTAAGTAGCAACTTCAAAGAAAAGCAAATAAACCCAAAAACATAATACCCTTTTTTACCTTCCTAATTTTTGATTGTTGCTCTCCTTGCTAAATTTAGGCAAAGTTAGGTTCCAGTAAAGGAAGTGTAGTGAAGTTAGATGAAGCTGGCTGAAACCCAAGAGAGGTAAAGATATTTCATATGTACATCTCTCAAGCTCTGAAATACAAAATTCCGTTTGATGTGGAAGACAAGTGTCAACAATTTTGTATTTTTTTTGTATTTTTTAATATGACTTTCTAAACAACTGAGTTAAGCATCATTCTTTAGGCAGCTGGTAGCAAAGTACCTGCAAACTATTTAAAAATTGTATTCCACGTAAATAATGCTGAGATTTATGATGTGTCTTTAAATGTCAGTATTACAAATATTGTTATGATTAGCTATTCTAGAAAGAAGGTTTGAGTTGTATGGACAGATTATGATGCGTCTTTTTACCTTACAAGTGATGTCCTGTCTAAAACTTCCCTCAGTCCACAAATGTCTCTTCATCTTTCGGACTCTGCCTTCTTTACAAGAAGTTTTAGAATTAATTCAGTCTCTCCTACTTGGAGTCCTGTTGGTACATTCTCTCTTGCTTTTCCTCTCATTCGCTTGTCCAGATGCTGCTCCAGCACTTTGGTTTCAACTATTCGTCTTATTTCCTTTAGCCCTCATAAAAGCATATCCTATTTTGTTTCCACGGCCAGCCCAGCTTAGAGTCATCTAGTTGCTCCTGCCTCTGCTCTCACCCTGCTTATGAAAATGCTGTAATGATTTTGTAGTGGGAAAGTAGGATCATATGGTCGTCCAAATCTTCTTCATATGCTCGTGGAGAAAGAGTAGCCAATCGTATCTGATGTTGTTGGACATCCACATTTCACAAATAAAAAAAAAATAATGTAAAGACTAAACTCATCTTAATAAATTTATTCAGTCAAATGAAGATCATTTGACAATTAAAGCACTACAGCTTAATTTAGTTAAGGATTAATGTCTGAGGCAAAATAAAAGTTCTAGTATTTCTGAAGGGGGGACTAAGCTTTGAAGTGAGAAAACATCAGAATAGTTCACATGCCAGCAGAAAAAATACCTTAATGGATTTTTCTAAAACTTAAAAATGAAAATTTATACCATGTCCACTTATATCCAGGAGAAGAACTAAAATTATCAATTCATGGCAAGCAGATGCAAATATTCTTAGTGCACAGAGGTGTGTTTTATTTTTATTAAATCATGGTGTTTACCATTAGTAATAGTTTTAATGAAAATCTTTGGTATAACTCAAAACAGAAGTTTTCCTTGGGACAATAAAGAATGCTCTTACTAAAGTATTTTTCACAATAGCAGTAAAAGAAAGATCTGTGATCAGTCATAAGAAAATGGCAAATTTTGTGGGCTCACAAAAGAGAAGAGACTGTTGCATAGTTGGATTTTCTGTGGATTTGAATTTGGTGCTGTGACATTGTTAGTACCTAGTAGCTCAATCCTCTTTAACCTTCTGGAATAATACAAAATCAGATACGATCTGACTGGTAAAACATGTTCTGAAAGTCTTGTCTCCAGTTTCTATTCTGTCCATTCTTGTGCATGTGCTTTGCTTTGGTCGCGTAAGTAGACTCTAAAATTAGTGTCAAAATAGAGCATTTTACTTCCCTGGATTGTTACTACTATACTGTTTGCAACTTTACATTTGCCAAGATATTTTTCATGTATGTGTTTGAATGCCATATTTTCTTGTAGTTAAAAATAGTAGTTCTTGTAGTTTAAAAATAAAATGTGGCACGTGTTTAGGTGTAAATGATCATTTTGTATTGTATGGAGTGTGGGATATATTCAAACATCTTAAAAAAATCCTGAACTATTTAAAGGCCCTGTAGAATACATGCTCCATTTGGAGAGGAAAACTTGAAAGATCGGTAAGGTGACCATTAAAACAATGCAGTTTTGTGTATGCACTGTACTATAAAGTGTCAAAAAAAAAAAAAAAGACACGTTGGTGGAATAGTATATAAAAACAATTCAAAACGTATTTTAAAATTGACAAAACAATAAAATAAGGGTAGTTTTTCCTGTCAGAATTTTCTGTCTGATAGTAAATGTGACTATAACATGTTTTTTCATTGAGCAATTTATAATGAGAGAAAGAGCTATATATCATATCTTATATTTTCACAATTGTAGTTCTTCTATTGGCATCTGGGGGGTAATTGCTGTCATTACATGAATAGCTGTAATAGAATAGAACAGTTACAGTTCAGGAGTTTTAAGGGGGTTTTTATATCCTTAGTAGAAACACTTTCATTTTCCTTGAAAATAGAGCATTATTTGTTTTTTTTCTTTAACACTGAAACTATATTAAATATATATTCATTAATATTTAGAATACATTAAAATACATTTTTGTTTTGATACAAAAATAAAAATTATATGGAGATGGGATGCACTATATAAATTATATGGTATCCTTAGTCCTGAATAAGTGGCAGGAGTTCTTATCTGCAGAAAACTTCTTTTTGCTTGTCTAAAATGCAGTGACAATGGTCTTGCTGCAGTGATCCAGCTAAGCACAGGTGTTATTTGGCTTCTGCTCTGCATTAGTAGGTTAAAACAGTGACAACATTTTATAGCATAAGATCGTTTCTCAGAGACTGTTTTGTCTAACTTTATTCCCCTTATTCCCACTTCTATTTCAGATAGCAGTTCTGTGGATGAAAAGGTTTAAAATCACATTTTTACTATAGGGTTCATGTATTTTGTTGATGTTTGTTTGTGACTTATTTGACGTGTTTTGTTCCTTCATTTTAGTTGTGAGATCTGCATGTTTTTCCCAGCTTTCCACTCTTTTGTTCTCCTTTGCGTGTATTGCAAATGTGTTGCATTTATAAACAGGATATCCCTCACTGTTGTGCTTATCATGATTGCCAACACAGGGGTCTGCTACTGTCAAACATGATATCTGGGATTTTTGCCTCTAATTAGCATCTGCACTACGTACACTACAGGACTTAAAGAAAAACAATGTTTGGGAAGCAATATCTTATCTTCCCATGGGTTCATCCAGTGTGTTTCACCAAATGCTGAACGCTACCAAAATGTGTTCCAAAGCAATAGTTACTCTAGCTTTGGCCTGGAGCTGACCCTGCTAAACATTTTCATATTAGGTGTTATATGTTTGATACAGTTAAATTCTGTTCAAGACTTACTAAGAGCAACTGAATAACTGAATGTGTTTTGGTCTTCATTACAGGCTCGAATAGTAAGTGGAAGTTCCTTGGATACTTCCAAGATCTATGCAATCCAGGCATTTAGTGGGTAAGTATCAATATGACTGTGAATTTCGTTATTTGTATCTGCAGATTGGCCTCATAGTGTTATAGTATTTCTTCTAAGTTTTGTTCTTAGGATCATAGAATCATAGAACAGTTCCGTTTGGAAGAGACCTTCAAGATTATCACAGTGTTCCCCAGGGCTCAGTACTGGGGCCACTCCTGTTTAGCTAGTTTATCAATGATTTGGATGAGGCGATGGAGTGCACCCTTAGTAAGTTTGCAGATGACACCAAGCTGGGTGGAAGTGTCGATCTGCTTGAGGGTAGGGAAGGTCTACAGAGGGATCTAGATAGGTTAGGTTGCTGGGCCAAGGCCAATTCCATGAGCTTCAATAAGGCCAAGTGCCAGGTCCTGCACTTCGGCCACCTTCGAGATCATTGAGTCCAACCTTTGTCCTAGCTCTATCAACACCACTAAACTATGTCCCTACATACAACATCTACCCGTCTCTTAAACACCTCCGGGGATGGTGATTCCACCCCCTCCCTGGGCAGGATGTTCCAATGCCTGACAACCCTTTCAGTAAAGAAATTCTTCCTAATATCCAGCCTGAACCTCCCCTGGTGCAGCTTAAGGCCGTTTCCCCTTGTTCTATCACTTGTTACTGGGGAGAACAGACCAAGCCCCACCTCGCTACAACCTTCTTCCAGGTAGTTGTAGAGAGCGATAAGGTCTCCCCTCAGCCTTCTCTTCTCCAGGCTGAACAGCCCCAGATCCCTCAGCCGCTTCTCATGTGAGACATGCTCCAAATCCTTTACTAGCTTGGTAGCCTGCCTCTGTACCCTCTCCAGCACCTCAGTGTTTTAAAAGGAAGATAGTTGGTTTCATTGCGTATGGCTTCTTTTAACTTTTCCAAGTCCCTGATTTTTAAGAAATTAATACAACAATTCAGTTGCACAGGTCAACTTGAACGACAAAATTTGTTACCTCTTTGCATACAAAATAAATGCGCTTTGAAGCCGTAGTTTGATATTGTCTTCATTTTAGTAAATGTGTAGTAATACAGTAATATCGGTCTAGTATTTGAAATCTAAAAGGTCAAAGGAAAAAGATCTTCCAGTTGCTGAGAGCGAATGTGGCAGAAACCTGTACATTTTGTTTGGCTGTCTCCAGACAGAGTTGTCTTAGATCGAGTTCTAGGGATTCCTTCCTTTGAGGAAAATCTTGCCTTCCTATTTGGAGCACCTTCAGTTTGGAAAGGAAAAAAAGCAAAAGCCATCGGTAAAGTGTATCAGTTCCATTAGTTAACTGTTTAAAAGGGGTATTATCTTCTTGCTGGTGCACTATATGAGCACTGTTTGCCAGTTATGCTTTGTTAGAAAGATAAGGTGATGAGATCAAGTTATCTGATTTATCTTCCTCCTTCTCCTTTGTGCATCTTAAAGGCTATCCAACGGATTCGAGACACTATGAAGTTTTCCTGTTTAGATTCCTATGTTTGGATTGTTTTGTTCCCCCCCCCCCCCCCAAAGGTACTAATGGTATTATTCTATTTAATGGGATTCACATGCTGCTGTGGAAGGTATCATTAACATAACGTGTACTTACTGCTAAACTTCAACACATTTAAGAGCATTCTCCAGTTTTCAGTTGCTTAGGTAGTTTCTGTATAGTTTGTCATACCTCAAAGTGCTGTATTTCTTCCTTTTCCAGCGCATAGAATCTTCAGAGTTGCTGTAGAAGTGTGAGGCCATACGTGACATTGTACAGAATTAGTTGCTGAATGCAAAGTCAAACATTTTAAATATTGTAAGAAATAATTGATGTGGTTTCTCTATTAGCATGCTCTTTGGCATTAGAGTAAATTTACATTATACTTCTGGCTTGCAAACCACATATTGCTTTCACTTTGATCTGTTGCAGTTTTCTCATAAGATTAAAAAGATCAAAAGTCTCTCAGTACTAAAGTGATATAAACTTTTGCCTTGTACATTGATCAGCGCTATTTCTTACTCTGCCAAAACAACTACTCCTTCTTTAAATGGGATTTTCTAAGTATCTCTCTACATTTTTAAAATAGAACCATGTAAGTGCTGTGAATTTTCTTCCTGACTTCCAAATGCAAAACATTAGTATTTCTATTTGAATTATGTTGTTTCTGAACGTGAAACTAGCATATCTGAAGCAACTTTATTTCTCTTGGTTAGATTACTGATTTCAATAATTTTTCAGCAATGTATTAGCCACAAAAACATTTACTAAAACTCTCTATGCTCATGTTCACATTATTCTTCTAATGGAATCATGGAAGGCTTTCAGCAGATTCATTGTAACTGTGCTAGCAAATTATGACAATAACCTTTTGATTTGATGTATGACAATTTACATTTGATGGCTTCTCTTTTGAAAAAAATTATGCATATCAGAACAAGAAGGCATCCCAGAGGCAGCTTCTGATATTTGCCTCAAATTCTCTTTGTCATATCCCCAAAGAAGGTATATCCTTTTATATTTTGTGCCATGCGATGTCAGTTCATTTTTTGCTCGTAGGTTTTGATGGTTCAGATTTGAGTAATTTATGACTTGATGCACCACTGATTGTAATGTACCTCACCACTGAGAAGCAGGAATTTGATCTCTTAAAAACTACAGAGTTAGTAAGAAAACAATATTTAACCTCAAAATGAGTTTGAATTCTGGAAATACAGTGGAGAAATTTACATTTTCAGGTAATTTTATAGGTGCTGTTCAGTGCAGAATTGTATATTGCATTCAATGCTGTATTCCTAGAATAAGAAGGAAAGCGTTTTTTTTTCTCTAAAAAAAAAAATCAGAATTCTGAGACTGAAAATAAAGCTAGTCCAAAACTGCCTTGGATTTATCATCTGTGGTTTTTAATGACCCAATTTTGATCACTGCATGTGGTTGGACATTCATTGCTTAAGCTATTAAGAACTATTTCTTAACATAACCAAAATCTGAAGGAAAATTTTCAGTTTCATATGATTTCTCTTTTCTTTCGTTATTTCTACTTCTTTAAGTTACCTACTTCTTGTTGCTCTGTTAGCTTTTCTTGTTTGTCCCCAATATGAGTAAGCTTAATACAAGAAAGCTCATTCTGTCATATTGATTGCAATCTGCAAAACCAGAAGAGAAACAGTTTAACATCTGTCATTGCATAGTTTCAGGAATAGCATTTTGTAAGCAGACTCTGTGAGTGCAGGAAGCGACAATCAAATGTTGACACCTATGCATGCAGGAAGCTGCAAGTGACTACACAGTTTTGCTGTACACACTACCTTCCATAGCAAATTACTTAATTACAGTTTCCTAATGGGTGCAGGACTTAGAAAAGTACCATACAAGAGTGTATAGAATTCTTATTTCTGTGGGTTGCACAGAAAACCCAATCTCATCGATGTAAGGAGACATTTTGCCGCTGACAAGGACTATAGAGACAGAAGTTGCTCTTCTTATGCCCTTTCTTCCATTCATAGGTGAATAAATTCAAATATTGAATCCTCTGAGAATAAGCTGTGTCGATCCCTTGTACGGACGTCCTGCAACCACTGCACAGGACTACTTCAAATGACTGACAGTAGCTCAGTGCTAGCTCCTGTTTTTACGTTAAACTTTACTTCAGTTACTGACAAAGTTTAGATTGGGCCTCTGCTTCCTTTGCATTTTTGTGCAAGCCTCTGTTTCACTAGGCCTCCCTGAAAACAGTGGTGCAATTTTCTTTTAACTTCTCATTCAGCTGAAGAACACTGGTGTCTCAAAGGCTGTTGTGGCTGTTTTAATCACACTCTACTCCTGCATGCAAAAACTAATCCTAAATTCTGGTATCCCTCAGCCTCTTCACTGCCAGCATAACCAGCTGCAGCCTTACTTGTGACTCCTTTTCCCTCTCATTCTCTCTGAAAGGCATTGCTGTCTGAAGTGAGGGGAGATTCTTTCCCTCATGACCCTTGATACCTTGCTTTGTCTATATAGAAAGATCTCAAATGCCTCTCTTCTGCCTTACTCCCCCCTCCCTCTCATAGCACAGTGCTGTGAACTCACCTCACATGGACCAGCACATCCCATGTCCATGGCATAGACTGCGACTGCTCATCCTCCACAATGATCTCCACTTGGCTGCATGAAGTGAGAGACTCAGGGTGAGAAAGTAAAGGCAAAGACCAAATATAGTTTCACTGGGGCTTCTCATGCTACTTCTCTGTTAAAAGGCAAAAGCTCCACCTTTCTTGTTCTCTCCATCCTAGTATCAAATGATATCTTCTTCATTTTATTTTTATTCTTCATTTTATTGAAGATGAGACACTTTAGAATTAATCCTTTAAGTATTTTTTAAAAGTACATGGAGGCCAGCTGAGATTTTCATCATGTATTTGAATCTAGGGTAGTACTGTTTTACTTTTTCCGGAGACTTGCTCTGTATTAATTCACTACTTGCCTGATGGCAGTGATGTCAGAGACTGACAGTTTTACCACGTGGCCTAATCCATTCTGAAACTTGCTAATGGTACACAGATGGTGCTGCGTGCAGATGATTACTCCTTTCCTTCAGTGGCATGTTCTCAATGACAAAACAAATTTGTTTTTCTTGGATTCTCTGACAAATTCAAATAGATGACTGTTATGCAGAATATCTTCGGAAGCACACTAAAAATAGTAAAAATTACTTTTTTTTCCTTGCCTTGAGTGATAACTTGTGTGCCTTCAACTTCATCATCTTCTATGTTAAGACGTTGTTGGGTTGTTATTGTTGGAGGCAGGGAGGGGAGTAGAGAATTTAATATATAACCTACATAACATGAACAGTTTGTCTATGGCTGTTTGTTTATGGTGTTTAAAGTTCCAAAGACTACATACTAACTATTGTTGGTTCTGGTTCTCCTGGTTTTCAACAAAACTTGATCTCACAATCCAAATCAGTATATTAATCTTTACTTGCAGCTGGCAGCCAACAATCTTTCCACATTTACGGTCCTCTTAAATGTTGTTAAAAGGACGGAATTTGTTCTTGTACAGACCATTTGT